TTTAAACCCTCTTCCTGAGAGCCGATTTAGTTACGATCTTGAAAAAGTTTGAATGTTTTTTTAGGCCGATTCACTTATTGTTTTCACCGTTTTTGGCTTTACTAGTTTTGGACATGAGTCGGTCTCCTCCTTTTATTTTATTTATTTATTTCTTTTTAAATGGTTAAGTCATAAAAATGGGGATTGATGATTTAATTAATTGGAAGATATAGAAAACATTAAATCACCTTAAGTATAAGTTAAATAGTAGGTTTCCTAGAGTTTTAGGAGCACACACCTAAGGTGAGAATCCATCAACCTAGTCCTCAGTGTAGACCTCTTAGACTTTAGGTGTACACCCTAGGTGAGAGCCCATCCACCTAATCCTCAGTGTAGGTTTTCTAGAGCTTAAGTGCACACCCTAGGTGAGAGTTCATCCACCTAATCCTCAGTGTAGGTTTCCTAGTCTTTAGGAGCACATCTTAGGTGAGAATCCATCTACCTAATCCCTGCAGTGTAACCTCCTAAGGTTTTAGGAGCATACCTTAGGTAAGAGTCTATTCACCTAATCCTCGAATGCACAGTGAAACTAGACACTTGACTCTAATCCACAAACTGACTAAAACACTAGACATGATGAACCGAGACGTAGTTTATGCTTCCTTAATTAAATCAACAGTGAAATTCCCTCAATGACTTAACCTACAATGAAACTCAGTGCATCGGGATTTGAGCTTGCGAAACCCAATGCATCAAGATTTGAGTTTGAATATTACACTCAAATTCTCCTGACAATTGGAGAATTTGTTAACGCCACATATGAATCATCGAACTAGGATAAGTCTAGGGTTTAAGTGGCGAGGGCGATGACGACATTGCTTACGTGTGCTTAAATGAGGGATATGAAGTGGGATTATTAGAATAGTATCTCTTACCTCAAGGATCTTCAACAAGGGAGAGGGAAGGGTCTATGATACTATTCGCTGATTCTTAGTGGGATCGTTGCCCCCGACACTCTTAGGTTGTCAGTAGTTCTAGCACGATTAGAGTGACTAGTC